TTGCTAGACGGTTGCTATGTCCCTGCTCCACAGTACCTTATCTTATCCGAAGGTCAGCTGTTACCTCTGTTCATTCTGGTCACTCCGTTCTGTATCCTTGAGGCTCGTTGTAGCTAATTTTGCAGTCGTGTCGTCGGCAATGTTCTTTGGGTTACAGTTCAGTCCTGCAGCCTGCAGGCTTCACCTACTTTAGGCGCTTATGCTAAGCAAGAGTCAGACTTATGCTAAGCTGAAGCTAAGTCAGCTACAATTCCCTTCTCTAACAGTCCTCTCTTGTTTTTATGAGCATTTTTCCTGCTGGATATATGCATGAATAATTAAACTGAAGCATAGTATTTATATATTCTAAGTTATGATAAAGCTTTATAAGTTATGCAAAAATCAATAATCTATATATAACGTGTTATATGCTTCTGCTAATCAGGCAGTGTTCTAGTGTATCGATTTATATGATTTAAATACTTCTACTTCAATTAATTGTTTTATCAGGTACCATACTCTTACATATAAGATGGTGACAAGTAACAAGCACAGCAGTGTTAGGGCTAGTAAGATTACCACTGGATGGAGTATGTGATTAAAAATTGCTGTTGCTGTTGGTGACCATCCCAGAAAGGTTTCCCACCACTAATGTTCTCCATCCTTTCTTGCTCTTTCTAAAACCCAGTATACTTCCTCTATATCGTGATAAATAGTACTTAAAGTTTTTTGTCCGTTATCTTGAATGCTTTTCAGCAATTGGTACAAATCATCGTGTTGTAGCAATTTTTTCACTAAAGTGAGATTCATCCCGATAGGGATAGGCAATAGATTTTGAATTAGTGTGTAATTGGACTGCAACAGCTGCTGAGATGTAACAGGAGCTGTGTAATTAAAGTCACAGCCTAGAATTTCAGTAAAGTTACAGATACAAATATTTGAATGATTACTTGCACTTATATTATCTACAGATAAAAAATCACAACAGGTTCTCATACAAACACCTCCTTTTCCAAGATACACAAATACAGTTTCAGGAGTTTCATCAGGATGTATTTCAAAATGACAGACATTTTGTTCAGTTTCAAGGCAAATGTCCTGGCCCTTGATGGTATTACTCTCACAGATAAATCCCTGTCACTTTTGCACGACGCATGCACTAACATTGACCGTTTGCCATTTGTTTCCATTATTTAGGGCCCACAGTCCAAGCTCTATCGGATAGAGTATAGTTCCATTGTGATTCAGTCCTAGCGCTGTGATAGGGTATATAATATATACCGAAGCATTGCATGTTGTTAGGACACAAGGTGTGGCCTTATTACTGATAGGATCATAAGTAAAAGTTTGTTGGTTCTCTATAATGGGTTAACGTAAGTAACATCATTGCCACGTAAGCAGTATGCCCAGCCATCTCGTGGGATGGATTGCTTATCTGGTGGATGGTTGTTCACGACCTGCTTGACATGCAAATGGTGTATTCACTTTTCTTTACCTGCGACTTTAACAGCAAAGTAAGAACATAATGAAACAGTGTATGGTCCCTCCCAGTTTGGTTCTAATTTAGACTTTTGTAAAAACACTTTAATCAAAACCTTGTCTTCAGGTAATATATCATGCATCCATATTTTTGGTGGAGTGGGTTTGTACCATCGGACTTGTTTTCTAAAAGTTTCAAGTCTTTTTTGCATAGCTAGTACATACCGAGTCAACCACTCATCTCCATCCAATAGGCTAGTCTTGGCTGGGATGTAGGTTCCTGGTATAGTTAAATGTCTCCCCAAAAGAATTTCTGCAGGTATTAACCCTATGAGCTGTTTCAGAGTATTCCGAGTGTCCCATATAGCTAAGTTTAGGGCTTCTGGCCATTTTAGCCCTGTATGTACACAGATTTTTGCTAATTTCTCTTTCAAAGTCCTATTCATCCTTTTACCTGTCCTGAGGATAGTAAATCACGTATCTCTCCCCTGTTCGACACACTTTTTCTGATGATGTGAGGAATCTTCGCTCCTTCCACAGCATTCCTACTGCATGACATACTCCAAAAGCATATCAAGAGTTCATATAGATGTTAACACGCTCTCCTTTCGCTAGGCGAGCTGCACGTGTCAAGGCTATTATTTCAGCCCCTTGCGCACTCATTCTTACCAGAAGTGGTTCAGCTTCTATAACTTGCCCTTAGCTCACTACGGCGTTCCCATTCTGCCATCGTCCACGTAGGTAATAGGATGAACCATCTACAAACAGGATCAAGTCTGGATTCTGTAAGGGAACATCTGTTAAATCGTCTTGAAGCTTGCTTGGCGTATGCATCACCTGTTTGCACTGGTGGTGCTCTTCCCCGTCATCAGGTAATGGTAACAAATTTGCAGGATTCAAAGTATTATACTTTCTTAGGAGTACATTATCTGCTGTTAAGAGAATTAGTTTATACCTATGTGCCTGCTGTGGGGTTGACACTTGAGTTGTATACTGTCTCAACAGTATTTCTGCTTCATATGGTACATGGATTGTAACAGGATGCCCTAGTATAAGGGGGTGACTTTTCTCTAGTATCATTGCAGCTGTCATTATCAACTTAATGCATACAGATGCTCCCACTGCAACCGGATCTAACTGTGCAGAATAGTATGCTACTGGCCTTTGATGGGATCCTAATTTCTGCGTTAATACTCCATTAGCTACCCCCATCCATTTGTGTACATACAAATTAAAAGGTTTTGTATAGTCTGGGAGTCCAAGAGCTGGAGCAGAGGCTAAGGCTCCTTTTATCACTCTGAAAGCTTTCTCTCACTCAGGGCCCCATGCAAGGGGCTTCGCCTCTTCATTTTTCATAGCTTCCATTAGAAGTTTGGTGAATTCTCCTAATCCCGGTATCCACAGTCAACAAAATCCTGCTGCACCTAGAAACCCCCTGTAACTGTTTCTTTGTGACAGGGCGAGGGAGCTTCACTTACAGCTTCTACAGCTGGAGTTTGGATGGAGAAGTTTGGTGATCCTTCTCTGCTAAAGCAATACATAAATGTGCAGTATCTTTCAAGCAAGTCTTTTCATCTTTACTCGCTATCAGTAAATCGTCTGCATATCGTATTAGAGCCGATCCACTCGGTAATTCTATGTCTTTCAGATCTTCCTTTAATATTCACAAAAAGATGATTGGGCACCCTGTAAACCCCTGCAGAAGATGTGTCCGTGTCATTTGTTGTCCCTTCCATGTAAAAGCGAACAAAGGTTGGCTTTCCTCATCTATTGAAATGCTGAAGAAAGCCGCAGTTAAATCAATCACAGTAAAACATTTTGCCCAATGGGGTATGTGCAGAGGTATAGTAGAAGGATCAGGTCCTACTGAGTGTGGAGTAATGACATGCTGATTAATCACTCTCAAATCTTGTAAAAAACGATATTTTGGATCCCTATCCTGATCGAGCCTATTTTTGTTTACAGGGAGTATGAAGGTGTTACATGGGAATACACATGATTTTAAAATCCCTTCAACTAAGTACTGATCTATCTGTTTTTGCATGCTTTTCTCTGCCTCTTGGGGAATTGGATATTGCTTAACAGCTTCACGTCCCTTTGTTTTTATATTCAGTAGTTGGGCCAAGACTAGCAGTCCCATATCAGTACTAGTTCTGCTCCACAATTTTTCCGGCATGGATTTTAATGCTTCTACTAAGTTCTGGAGTGCTGTCTGGCAAGCAGCTCTGTCTCCTATATCATTGTAATCTCAATGTGGATCATTTGCTGGCCAAGGATTTCTATTTCCCCCATTATGCTGTGCCAATTTGGTCTCCTTATTAATTATTTTATCTCGCTCATCTGATCAGAACAACTCCCTCAAAAGTAATTGAGTATCTTCCCAGTTTGGATTATACCCAGTGCATATATTAGAAAATAGCTGAGCGCACCTTTCCTCATCGTCCCTCAACCTGGGCATTTTGCTTCCCTATAAAGCCAAATCACTCGGACTCCAGGGCTGTTTAGTAAACACTTGCAATACTGGGAAAGCCCCTGGGACGCCTGCTATTGCTACCAGATTAGATAAAATGTTAGGAATCATAGGATAGAGTCCCGCCGTGGGAGGAGGGGAAGTCGGAGAAAGAGAAGACATAGTGACAGATAGATCTGCAGGATGCAACTCCAGAGGAGTGTAAGGTGGAGCAGGAGCTCCTGGGCCATTATTTAGGATACTTATATCTGCTGCAGCAAGGGTAGTCTCACGTGGGGTGCCATTTTTACTCCTTGGACGTCACTGATCCCACACCCAATTATCCCACATATGTCAGTAATCCATTTGTCCTGGGAACTGGTCCTTTGAGTGATGTCATAAGAAAATCAGCTTTTGATTGCCAAATGTTCTCTGCAATGGCCACCGTTTTGCCAGACTACCATCTTTAGCTAGGAAAGGCCAGTCCTTTTGGCACACTTTTGGGATAAACCCACTGTACCATCAATCTTTTTCCAATTTTCCAAACCTCGGTCATTTTCCAAAACCCCTTTTTTATGCCAGGTACATTTTCCTATAATCAATCAGTCGTGTGCACCTTATGCTGATCAGGCTGCACACTGTGCCATGCGGTTGCAACAAGGGAGAGACTTGAACCCAACCTGACGTCCTGGGGGGACTCGAACCCACCTTGACATTGAGACTCAAACCCGTCCTACTGGACCTGCTCAAGGAAATCTAACACTCACCCTTCAGTGCCTCCCTCTCCAAAGGTTCCCAGGTGAACTCACCCACTGCCGGCAGTTAGACGTTTGGAAACGGGAGGGTCTGATGGTGGTTGCTAAAAAGATATAGGTGGTTGCCTAGGGTCACAGGTTTGAAGATCGCCATTGGAGAGGACACAAATGTTCATTTATTCTGACCATATTAATGTTAGATAGTCTATGAAAGAACATCAGCTTCCCCAGTTACTGATTTCTATCCCCAGCTTGCCCATTCAGTTGTGCAAACACAGCTGTTCCTAGGCCTGTGCTCTGAGTGGCGTCCGGACAAACTCAGAAACCCAATTACGTTATTATAAATTACATCATGGGGTGAAAACAAACAGCCACAGAACAGTACTCCATAAGGCACACTGGTCATTAAAATTTATTTACAAGAGCCCATGAGTCAAGACTTGAGAAAGGAGGCAGTTGGTTCCTAGAGGGGACATCACCACTCTGCATAAATGGAAGAGGAGGGCAGAAGAACAAGTGTATTTTTCATAAAGAGCGTCATTGTCTGAGAGAAGGTAAGGTGTCATAAGGACCAGTCAATGTAGTGGCCTCATACATATCAAAATTACCGGTCATTTCACATCTGAAAGACAATGTAGTGCTGCATGAGTGCTAGCGAGCGCTTAGAATCCACATGACCACTAGATCTAGCCTTGGCTCCAGCAGTCCACACTATGTTTCCAACAGCCTGGTTATGCTAGCATGGCTTCCAAGGTGAGCCAGCCGTTGTCCATAAGGCCATAAGGTGCTATTCTGCCTTACGCTCCAGTAGCGGATGCACCTCTCTTCCTGCCTAGACCAAGGCAATTTTCCCTTCCTCTTTCACCCTTCCTTGCTCTTGCAAGTCAAAGCTTGTCATCAAGATGCCACAGTGTGCAATGAGATCAGTGAATGTGCTAAAGAGCAGCAGTGGATAGGACTACTTGTGTAGGACATAGTGTATGGGGTTACAGGGTGAGTATAGTAGCAAGAGTGGGTCTGGATGATTTCCAGAAAGGTTTTGTGGGGTTGATAAGCCCTTGTGAGCTTCCTAGCCTAACTACAAGCTACTAATTAACAGACTCCTTAAAATTGCCAGAGCAAATATTTAAAAACAATTGGAATTTCACAGATCAATGAGAGAATAAAGGTGTGAATAAATAATAGAATGAATGAAGAGAATGTTGTCACTGTATTCCTCAAAAAAGCTAATAAGTATTGTGGTGGCGGCAACAGTAGTGTAGAAAAACTAAAAAATTATAAAGTGACCTCCCTTTGTCACTTGTATAATTTTCCCAGGCATATTCATTTTCCCAGGCAAGACAGTTTCCAAGAAAGGTAAAGACTGCAAAATTTTTGTCTTATTAAATAAAATAAAGTCCAATCTAAAAAGAATCGTTATACTAAAAATCCTTATATATAGGGAGAAATAATCACAAACTGTGCAAAACGTCTTACGTGCTACTCAATGAAACTAAATTCTACAACTTCATTTATTAGTAAAGTATTCTTGTAGTATAAGGACACAAAGTACAGGAGACTTATTGCAGAAATTAAAGTATCCAGAACATGATACAGTCTTCATTCTGACTTGGACAAGGGATTAGTTTCATACTTGAATTAGACAGTGTACATACCATGAGAGAGCAGGTGTGCCTTCTCACTTGGCTAAATCACTCCCTTCTCCACTTGATAATCCCACAAGTTTAAAGGAGGCTGAAAGTGTGTGGGTTAATGGGAATCCCATATTTTAAAATTGGCTCACTGAATAACAATATATGTTTTTTTCAATATATGTTTTTTCTAATGTTAGAAGTGAAAGAAGAGAATAGAACTGGGTGAACACTCTACGACAATGAAACATGTTGTGGCCTTGTACTTAAAGGTATAAGTATTGTGTTGTATAGCTCGAAATCAAATAAAACCTATGAGCCCCATGGAACAGGATGCTTTGGGCCTAACACTGTGCAAGTACCTACAATTAACCATTGGTAATATTATCTGTAATTACATTTGCTTTTCAGCCATTTAAAGTTATGTGAAGAAAATTAACTATGGAATTCTACTGTTTCATTTAATGCTGTAGCTCATTTGCCATTACTGTAGACCGACCTAGATTTCTGAATTTGGTTTGTCATACTACATCATGTGAACATAGGCATCTTTCCTTCCATCATTGTACTTTGATACTTGAACTTATTAATCCAATCACGCAACTTTATTT